ATCATTAAAACGAGATCATCAAAAAAAAAAAAAAAAAAGATCATTAACGTCAAGGATCCGCTCTAAGCGGTGTAAGTGCAAAGTACAAAAAATCGTTGCATCGCCACTGGGCTCATTCACACTGGAAGCGGATCCGCGTTCGCAAAGCGGTTGCGAACGCGGTTGTATAAGGATTCAGTGCAGTTGCACGCGCATTTGATGACATCAAATGCGCGTGCAATTGCACTGGATCTTTATACAACCGCGTTCGCAACCGCTTCGCGAATGCGGATCCGCTCCCAGTGTGAATGGGGGCTAAACGCGTCGCGTGCCCGCTTAGCTTGGTGAGTAGCGTGAGGCGGGGAAGCCCGTAATCATCTTGGCGGCTTTGTGAAGACCTACGTGATTGTTTTGGGGCACATAAAGAAAACAATAATAATAATAATATATTATTATCATCATCATCATCATCATCATCATCGTCCCCGAAAGCGGTCGTTCCTTTTCGACAGCTCTGCTGATTTGTACCTGTACTCGCTTCCTTTTGAAACATAAGGCGCCAGCGAGCTGTCCGTGACACAGGAAGTCCCCGGCATTACCGCAAGCACAAGCCTTGTTCAGAGTCAAGTCATCTAACTCTTCACTGGCCAGCTCACACTAAGTAGGCCTAAGCGGCTTCACGGCTTCACCAGACTTCCCTTCTGGAACACTCATCGTGCGCGAGCTCGCCTGGAACGACGATCTGCACGGTGAGCGAGCAGCTCGCGCCGCCCTGCTCAACGCCTCAGTCCAACTCAAGTGACACGGGCGCGCTGTACTGCATACCGTCTCCTACAATGTCTCCTCCACTCCAGTGCACGCAATGTAACGAGAAGATTATGAACGACGGTCGGCACATGTCCTGCGCCGACTGTGGAGCATTATACCATCTGGGGAAGCTTTGCTCCGGTATTGCAGACAGTACATTCAAGACAATGGGCGCTGGAAAACGAAAGGCCTGGCGTTGCAGTGTGTGCAGACAACAGCAAAGCGGAGATGAGTCTCGTAGTGAGGCAGATTTGTCGCAATGCCCGTCTCCTGCCACTACGGAACATTTTCAATCTCTTGAAGCTAGGCTGGAGTGCCTTACTTTACTCAAGGCCAACGTTGACACCCTCCTCGAGTGGCCAACCCAAATGAACCAACTGCTAACGCTGAAGCCGGTAGTCGACAGCCTGAAATCTGCAGTAACGGAGGTTCAGGAGTCCATTGCCTTTCTCTCGGCTAAGTACGACTCTGTGCTGTCGACAGCCACCAACAACGCAGCAGCTATAAACGAACTGCGCAGCGAAACCACATAACTGAAAACAGTGGTAACGGAGCAATCTCAGATCATCGAGCACCTGCAAGAAGAGCTCAATGACAGTGAACAGTACAGTCGTCTCTCAAACATCGAGATACATGGACTTCCTTAATCCCGAACTGAAAATTTAGCCTCCGTTGTCGGTGAGTTGGCGTATAAGCTAGGCCTTGGTGACTTTCAGCCAAGTGACATTCTGGCAGTGCATCGCCTACCTTCTCGACGCGATGGCCCTCTCCAGTTATCCTGGTTAGATTGGCATCCGTGTCACTAATGAGCAGTGGCTTGCCACACGAGGTAAGCTGCGTACCCTGGCGGCAGACAGTTCGTTGCCAAAACTCTACCTGAACGAGAATCTAACGCGAAGGAACAAGGAACTCTTTTGGATGGTGCGTGAGAGGGCAAGGGCCAAGCAATAAAAGTTCACTTGGGTGAAAACTGGGAAGCTATTCGCGAAGAAGTCAGAAAGCTCGCCTGTAGTGCGCGTCTATCGGATAGCCGACTTGGAAAAGATTGTCTAATTTTCTTCGCTTCTTAATGGCTTCAAAATAAGACGGGATAACCACCACTTCGAAAAATGGAAGTATAGTTTCATCGATGGTCAGAGTTTTCTTCTTTTTAACGTCTCTTGAGCCCAGTCAACGATACTGCTCTTGGCTAATTACATGTAAATATTAGGAGTATTCGTAAATATTGGGACGAGTTTGTAATAACTGTAAACAGTGTGATGTCAATAATTGGTGTTTTTCTGCTAACAGAGATCAATGTTAAAAAAGAGTTTCGTAGTGCCTTTCAGGACACTGGGATATAAATCATATTTTCTTACACGACCAATTGGTCGAGGAGGAGGAATTGCGATATTCGTTAAAGACTCATGGTGTACTGAAAACCTTGATGTAGATGTTTTTCATTGCGAGTCTTTGTCCTTAAGGTTATGGAATTTTGAATAGTCGTTGTTTTATTTGCACTTTACAGACCTCCGTCATCTAATGCTTTAAACTTTTTGGAAGAACTCAGAGATACACTTGGTAAATTTCAGTCCGCCGACATCGATAGGTGATTTTAATATTGACACCCTTCAACCCATTAACTTCCTTGTTTGTGACTATCTGAATTTATTAGAGGAGTTGGTCTAGAGGAACTGATTTTAGCTCCGACTGGAGAGGAACTTCTGGGTGATCATCTTGTTGCTTCATGTCTTGACCATATTAGCGTACGCGCTACAAATGTCGTTGCGCAGTCAGCTGTAATAGAACAAAAACTAGCGGACCATTACTGTGTTGCGCGTCAACTTACGTGACTTAGCGTTAAAACAAACAGAAACAACAAAAAGAGTTGAAATAATATTGATAAAGTAAGGTTGGATAAGTTAGTTAAGGCCTATAATGGGGTAGTTTGTTGTCCATTCAAGACTTCGTTGAAATTTACAGTACATTTAGAAATCAATTCGGCTCTTTCAGGGAGCAATCCAAAGATATTATTACTGTGAGGCGGCGTCAAAATGCACAAGTGTGGTTAACAGGGGATATCTTGTCATGCATTAAGTATAAAGATGCTCTATGTGCTAAATGCCAACGTTCTCCTAGAAATGTTCAGTTAAAAATGGAATTCCGCGCTACGCGAAATCGTGTAAATGCGATTATTCGGTGCGCTAAAAGAAAATACTTCCTAGAGAGATTTTTTTTTAAGGTAAGCTCAGATATTCCTGGAACTTGGCGTTTAATAAATTAGTTACGTGACTCTGGTGTTAAGAGATCCATTGATGATTCACTTGAGAAAGTATCTGATCTTAATACGACAGTGGCTGAGGATTTCACCAAGTGTTTTGCTAAATTCTCTGGAGTAGCGCCTAACGATGCGACGTTCTCTACAGAATATCTAGAGTCCAATGTTTCTTCGGCTTTCCTTCCTCAAATGACCGAGCTTCATCTGCGAACTTGGCTTTTCAGTTTGAAAACAAACAAGGCGCCTGGCATTGATGGCATCAGTGCAGAAGACCTGCAACGCAATTATAATTCTATAAAGCACGTGCTTCTTTCTTTATATGCTAAATGGTTTTATTTCTTCCTGGATTATCCCAGATGATTTAAAAACTGCAATTGTAAAGCCTTTCTTTAAAGGAGGAGAGCGCAACAAGCTTGACAATCACCGCCCAATTTCTATTTTACTCTGTATAGTCCAGATCTTAGAAAAACATATCCTTCAAACTATGACGGAGTTTCTTGATCGCTTTAACATTCTATCGCCAACTCAATATGGGTTTGTTAGTGGACGTCGGACCCAGCCACTTCTAGAAGATTTTGCTGATGAATTGAATCGTACCTTTAAGAAGCATCTGGTTGCTTGCGCACTTTTTATTGATGTGGCAGAGGCATTCGATACCGTGAGTCATAATAATATTTTACTAACTAAATTGCAAAACATTGGATTCCGCGGCCCATTCCTTCCACTACTTCAGAACTTTTTGTCGGGAAGTCCACAACTAGTTTCCATAGCTAATAGCCGAGGCTCCAAAGTTAGCTTAAAAGCTGGGGTTCCTCAGGGATCCGTTTTGTCACCTATCCTTTTTAACATCTTTGTAAACGATATGTCCAGAGCAGTTTCCTCATGTAAATTATTTCAATATGCTGATGACACGGTATTGCTATCACAACACCTTGATTATGTTGCAGGAATCACTTTACTCCAAGACGACGCTTGTCACCTACATGACTGGTTTAGAGCTAATTGTCTCACGATCAGTATACATAAAACTAAGCTTGTTTGCTTTCATAACCCACTTAAACTTATAACTACCGATTATCCACTTTATATGCATACATCTCGGTGTACACTTGCAACTGTCGTCCCGTGTCTTATGTGGATCAAGTTAACTATCTAAAAATACAATTTGAGAGTGACTTGTCGTGGAAAGCCCGTTTATCACAACTTTGTAGAAAACTGCGAAAAGTATCCTGTTTGCTGTATAATACCAAATCTCTAATACCCATTTCAACCAAAAAGACAATAACTCACGCTTTAGCATACAGTGTATTACGCTACGGGATAACTATTTTTGGTCACAGCCCAGGACTCTGGGGCAAAAAAATTGACTCACTTTTAAAAGGAATATTTAAAAGCATAATGTATGGTGCAGTGTCACAAACTGAAGAAGAAATGCTAACATGCTTGGGTTTGCCTTTTTTTTATCTTTGACTTGTACACACGGTTGTTCTAAAATACTTCTGGGGCGATACTTTTAAGATACCTCGTGTCCTATGTAGACCTCTCCGGCGTGTTGAGCGGTTTGAAGTGCCTTTCGTAGAAACAAAGTACGGAAAAAGAGCGCGAAATTTTTACGTTCCATTTATTTTCAACAATTTGCCAGATGATGAGTGGGCAAGGAAGAGCGGCAGCTATGCGGTCACTTGACAATCCTTTCTGCTTCGTTGGGCAGATTTCGGCCCTTCTTTGGACGTGGTTTCCGATATCTCGTGGCGAGCCAACTACCCTCACCGCTCCGTCACTGTGCAGCGTTTTTGCGCTGCCTGTTGGGGACGACGCCTCTTTTATCTTCGATGTGATGGTTGAGCTTCCCGCCAACACCAAACCGGCACCCTCGTCGACGTCGACAGAGCTCCCGCCGGATTTAAACGCTTGGATTACACCGGACTCCTTCAGTGGGCAAGGAAGAGCGGCAGCTATGCGGTCGCTTGACAATCCTTTCTGCTTCGTTTTGCAGATCTGTAAATATCCCTCCTTACACTCTGGGCGTTCTCGCAATGTGTGTGTGCCGCTCTTCCGATTCCCACTTATGCTTTCTAGCTTTATTCTTGGGTGTGTGAATGTTCTGAAGTTATTGCTATTGTCTGGGGATGTTGAATTAAACCCCGGGCCAAACCAGAGTGAGGCAATTCTTGCTGCCATTGCTGCACTATCGACTAAAACCGACACACGGCATACTGAAATGATGAAAATGTTAACAGAGCTCACAACTAACCAACGTCAACTGGAACAAAAAGTGTGTGACCTAACTACAAGACTCGCAGCAGTCGAATCTCTTGTCGAGTCTCTAGACGTGCCCCAGGAAGTTTCCGATCTTTCTAACGTCGTAAGTGAGGCTCTTCGGGGCGAGACTGTTGCACTGAATTCACGACTTGACGAGCTTGAAGATAGATCACGCCGTGACAATTTAATATTTTATGGCCTCCCCGATAGCTCTAATGAAAATTGGTCACAAACGGAGACGCTCATCCGTAATACTCTTTCCAGGATATTAGACTTGAATTTATCTGATAAAGCGATATCTCGTGCTCATAGGTTAGGTTCGTATATCACTAATAATTGCCGCCCAATAATTGTTAAATTTTCTTCCTCTAAGTCTAAGGACTGTGTTCTTTCTAAACGGCCAAAGTTCAGAGGATCGGGGATTTCAGTGGGTGAAGATTTTTGTCGGGCTACACGACTGTCGCGTAAGAAGCTGGTTGAATTCGGCAAGGCCAGCGGCCAAAGGTTTTCGCTTCGCCTCAACAAGTTCCACGTCAATAACAAAAGCTACGTGTACTGCCCCGCAACTGATAGTGTCTGTGAAGTAGATTCCAATGAGCCCCATGCAGCTATCAGCGACACAACCACCCCAACCACTAGCATTGCTAGACCGCCTGTAACATAGCTAACAAGAGGCCCGGTGGCTAAAACCATTTCTATCCTTTATTCTAACGTGCGAAGTGTTGTTAACAAACGTGATACATTGTCATCCCTCATCGACACATGCTCGGCTGATATTGTAACCCTTACCGAGACGTGGCTCTCCAGCAAAATAGGCAACCTGCAATGCTGTTTGGTTTGGCGCCATCCAGCGACTGAAGCAAGAAATATTGGGTACCCTGAGAGTGGCGGCTGCATTGTTCAAACGTGAGCTTTTGCTCTGGTGGCGCCGCTTAGCCTAGTGTCTGAAGCAAGAAATACTGGGTATCCCAGGAAGCCGTGATCGCGTAACGTGGCAGTAGAGCGGAAGCTACGTCCCTGCCGGGCAAATCGGAACGTGACTGCGTATTACCCGAGCGCGCCTCAACTCCGAAGAAGTCTGTCTTTTCGCTGCGTCATGTTCCAATATCTGTACGTTGCGCTCGTGTACGTCGCGCATTTTGAAGCCTTCGGGACGCAATGTGAGGCTTATCGTTCACCCCTTGCCAAGTAACAGCGAAACAGGGTATAACCGTGCGCTCTCACCCTACTGGCGCCGCCTGGCCATTGCCGGCTGGCCATTGCTGATAACGAAATTTTTGAATGCGAAGGCATGTACAGGTTTTATCGATTTCCTCCTTATCGCATTTCTTGAATCCACCTCGCTTTTCGCTGACTGTCAGCATGGGTTCCGCAAATCATTTTCCTGTGAAACGCAGCTATTATCATTCACTAATGACCTGTTTCGTTCTATTGATTCTGGCGATATTGTTGCCTGTATATTTTTAGACTTCTCTAGGGCTTTCGACACTGTCTCACACGATTTACTTCTTTTTAAGCTTAGTAAGTTAAATATTGACCCTAACGTTTTGAGCTGGATTAGATGCTTTTTATCTGACCGATCACAATAGGTCACTGCTAACGAACATAATTCCTCTACTATTTCTGTATCTTCCGGGGTGCCTCAGGGATCTGTCCTCGGCCCTCTATTGTTCCTAATTTACATCAAGGATCTTCCTGCCCAGATTGCATCCTCTATCAAACTGTTTGCCGATGACTGTGTGTTATACCGCGTGATTACTAACCCATGTGATACTACAATGCTCCAGTCTGATCTCGATATCATTTATTCTTGGTGCTCCAGCTGGGTAATGAAGCTTAACGTTAACAAATGCCAAAGCATGCGCGTTTCCCGCCTTTCGAGGATCGCCGACCCTACTGTGTACGTCCTTAACAATACTCCGTTATCATGTGTCGGTTCGCACAAGTACCTAGGCATACACATAACTCATAATCTTTCCTGGAACATGCATGTGAACTACGTATGTAATAATGCTAACCGCATGCTAGGGTTTTTACGCCGACACTTTGTTTCTGCTGCTGTTCCCGTGAAGCTACAATTATATAAATCCCTAGTTAGGCCTAAACTTGAGTATGCTTGTACAATTTGGGATCCTCGGCAGGCTTCATTATCAAACATTCTCGAGTCCATCCAAAACCGTGCTGCTCGTTTTATTCTTTCTAATTATTCTCGTAATGCAAGTGTTTGCGCAATGAAATTAACCCTGGATCTACCTGTCCTTGCCCTTCGCCGCAAGTATCTTTGCCTATGCCTATTTCACAAAATTTATCATCATAACCCGCTTCTTCGAGACCAGTTATATCTTCGTGCATTCTATATATCGTCTCGCAGTGACCATCAGTTTAAGGTGGGGACTCCATCATGTCGAACAAACATATACTTTGACTCCTTCATTCCAAGAACTTCTAACGATTGGAACCACCTCCCTGCCTCCATTGCTGCCATCACTGAAGCCCCAGACTTCAAGAAAGTAGCCAACGATTTTCTACTGTATAGTACCACTCCTCTCTGTAATGCCTCCGGGCCTTAAAAGTATGCAAATAAATAAATAAATAAATAAATAAATATCTATGCTGTGGACTCTTTAAATAAGTTGAAAGAATCACTTCAAGGTATTAGGGAGAACTTGTGACTGTATGTTTCTGTGTGCATATTTTGGAATAACCATCATCACCTACATTGTTCTGCATCTGTAGATGAGTTTGCGATTTGAACTTCTTGTTTATGGGGACTCTTTCAAGCGTGAATTGTAGGGTGTTGTCCCACAAGCCGCTTCTGGCTTTGACAGGACCGTGTATCTGCCTTGTTAAATGCGTGTTCGAATAAAAAAAAATTATTATTATTATTATTATTATTATTATTATTATTATTATTATTATTATTATTATTAATAATAATAAGAAGAAGAAGTCCAACAGGGCGGTCGTTCACTTCAAGAGCTCTTCATATTTTCCCCTGTAATTAATACTTCTAAAGCATCATTACGACGGGCAAGCTATTCATGCTGCTTATCAAGCGCCGTGTCACTCCGGGGTCAGTCATTTCCCACGCCAAGGCCCCTATCGTCTTGATCTGACTATCGACTTCACAGGCAAGCTTCCACCACATCCCTTGGCGTCACGCTCTACGGCAGTTCTCTCCGACTGGAGCTCTTCTTGTTGAAGCTTCACGCCCGAGCACCGTGCGCCCGAGTTCGACCTGAGTGACAAGAATATATGGCGGTGAGAAGTACGGCAACAACCGTTCTGATTACGGCTGGCAGGATCTACGAGGACCGCAAGCCCGTTCCTTCAGGTATCACCTATTGATTCTCTGTGTCGTGCAGTTTCACGGGTGAGCAACTGCGCTCGAGCTCAGCACAAAACTGCCACGTGGAGTGTTCGTATACAACCTTGACTCATCTCGTTCTACACTTGTTCGAGAAGTGCGGATTGACTGGTGTCTGTGTTGCCTTACCGCTGTGTACTCGCCTTTCCTAATAATGGATTGTGCCAAATGTGCTCGCGCTCTGCCGGCAGATGGCAGATCCCTGACGTGTGCATCTTGCCGAAGGGGTTACCATCTTGGTAAGTCCTGTTCCGGCGTCGCAGATGGGACGTACGCGGGGATGGGCGCTGTCAGGCGAGAAACTTGGAAGTGTTCCACTTGCCGTACCGGCGCCACCCTCAGACCATCCGATCTTAGCGGTGACATTTCAGTAGATGAATCCTCCCGTACCGACGGCAGCAGGGAGGAGATTGTAGATTATGCACCCTTCACCAGTCAGCTGGCATCAATCAATGCCACTCTTAACCAGCTCCTTTCATTGAGGACAAGTGTGGAGACGCTGTTGCCTCTTCCATCTAAGGTTGATCAGTTGTTGGCCTTAAAACCAGCTGTCGAAGAGCTTCGCAACACGGTCCAAGGATTACAAACGACTGTTGACTCTTTTAGCTTGAAGTACGATTCCGTGCTCGCTCTGGCTATGACAAACGAAGAGGCAGTTAAAGAACTTCAAAAGGAGGTTAACACGGTTAAGGCAACAATGACAGAGCAGTCGGAGACCATTGAGAGACTGAAAGACGTGCTTAATGACATGCAACAATACAGCCGTCGTTCCAACATGGAACTGCATGGTTTTCCGCTCTCTCACGGTCAGGATCTAATGAAGGTCATAAGTGATCTCGCTAGGCCCCTTAACCTTCCAACACCTCAGTCGTCAGATATCCTGGCAATTCACCGTCTGACCAAAAAGCCGGACTCAGTTCCGGTTATTTTGATTCGCTTCGCCTCTGTCACCCTAAAAGACGCTTGGATGGCGGCACGTGGTAGACTTCACAGGCTGTGCCAATCAGAAAACCAACCAAAGCTATTCTTCAACGACAACCTTACATCTGCGAATAAGGAGCTTTTTTGGCTGACGAGGACGGGGGCTAAAGAAAAAGGATACCGTTTTGCGTGGACCAAGAACTCTAAGATTTTTGCTAGGAAAGCCGAAGGCTCACCAGCCATTCGAATCAACACAAAAAACGACCTTCTGCTACTGGTGTAAAACATGACAACTTGTTTTTCTGTTCCAGATATTAGTTCATTTATTCAGCTTTTGGGCCCTCTTTCTAATAACTCTTTAACACTTATTCATGTAAATATTCGAAGTTTGCGTAAACACTGGGATGAGTTTCGTGCAGTAATTAATACCTTTACCGCGTCGATAGATGTTTTCGTTCTAACTGAAATTGGTGTGTCATCTTTGCAATGCAATCAATTTCTCGATGGATATAAGGAGTCATTTTATACCCGTGATCATGGTAGAGGTGGTGGGATTGCTATATACGTTAAAGATAAATGGTTACTATCGCCTCTGAGCATATCTCTTGTCCATGCAGAAACACTGGCTGTTGAAATTTCTTTGGCAGGTTTTTCTTTATTTTTGTTAGCGGTTTACAGGCCTCCCTCAGAAAATGTTTCGCTCTTTCTTGCTGAACTAGATGCTGTGCTTAACCAGTTTCGTACGGAAGGACAATTTTGCGTCATTGGCGATTTAAATATCGATACTCTTAAACCTAATAAATCAATAGTTTTTGATTATCTGACTCTGCTCTCAAAATATGGCATTGAAAATATTATCACCTTACCCACAAGAGAAGAACTTTTGGTTCAAAAATTAGTAGTTTCCTGTATTGACCATATCAATATTCGTGCTCCGGATATGTCTGTAAAATCCGCCGTAATTACTCAGAAACTATCCGATCATTACTTTGTTGGATGTCGTTTAGACGCTCAGGTACCCGAAGAGCAAGGAACCAGGCGCGATTGTTCGTGGATTTTAATAACGGATACGGTACAATTCGATGCTTTGGTCGCTGCCTTTGACTGGAACGAACTCCTGGGGTCCATAGAACCTTCCAATGTTTATAAAGCTTTCGTCGAGGTATTTCAATCCTTTTATTGTGCCGCCAAGAAAAAGGTTAATTTCAAACGACGGTCTTATAAGCCATGGTTTAATTCTGATATTATGACTGCAATCAAAGAAAAAGATACGTTGTGGTCACGTTCCCGTCGTTCACCAAACAATTTGCAGTTAAAAGCAGAGTATCGAAGCGCTCGGAACAAAGCTAATGCAATTATACGGTCTGCCAAACGAT